TGTATAAAAAATTCTGGTTGAACCAGTTGGAAGATCAAAATTACATTGGTTCCTTGCAGAATGTGTCCCATGCACAGCACATCCATAAATGCTGAAATGTGTGGAACCGGATCTATTAGGCACATCAAAGTAAGTACGTTAAATGAGCATTTGATAAATATTTTGACAACTGTCAAAAATGGATATTAATCTTTTTTAAGGGTGGGGTGAGAGCATTTTAAGGGATAGGTGTCAAAAAAAATTTCAAGTGTTCATTGAATGTGCTTACAACTTTGTGCCTATCTCATCCAAACCTGAAATGTGCATGTAACACATATGGGAAACCAACCGAACTCTAGGAAAATAACGAGTTCACATCAGACCCCACAAACACAATGTCCCACAGCACATCCAAGCCGTGTATTAAAAACATCTCCCGATTCTTTCGATGATGTCTCATCATTTTTTATACTTATCATCAGATGTTCCAAATGCATGCTGAGATGTACTATGGGCCTGTGGGGTGTCCCTTGTGGGGGCTGATGTAAACTCAAAAATAACTGCTGATTGTCGAGACCTGACATTTTCTATTGTTATTCATGTGGAGATGCTTCCAATACACAGTGGAATAAAGTTGTGAGGTTGGTGTAAGGTGTGCTCTGCGAGGAGTAAATCCCAATTCTATCATGAGGTGGTGATGCAAATTAAACCGAACCGATACTCATTTCCATTTGCTCTCTGGTTCAAGTCTTTAAAGCCTGTTCTGTCCACATACCCCTTGTTACGGTTGGCCTAAGATCCCAAGTTTTAGCTTGTAAGTTTCAATAATTTCTTATGTAGTTGGAAAAATAAGAGATCGACTTCTATTGGGGCAAATGTATGCCCACACTATTCTAATAGATTTTTGCAACCTTGCATTTGAAATATCTCTCCATGAAATAAAGCACACAAGTAAGGAGATATTCTAAATGCAAGGCAGTAAAAACTACTTGAATGGGCTTTGCCCTGATTGAAGCCGAACTCGAAAAATAAATTCAGCTATAACAATGTTAAGCTGGGATCATAGTTTTCAAAACTGGATCAGACTAGATGGTCGGATCGGAAAACCCAGGAACTGGTAAAGTAACCAATTCCGTTTCATCATAAAACTGTTTTTTGGCTAAAAACCATTGATTTGGTCAATAATCCATTGACCCAGACAGTCAAATCAGTGAACCATCAATCTGAACAACAATTTTGGCCATTTTTTATTTTTTTAATTTTTTAAATCAAAATGAACCATTCATTCAAGCCAGATGAACAAAGTGGTCCCAAACAATTCCCAATCTGATCCGGTTTTAAAAACCTTTGACTAGGATGCATGGTTGAACCGGTGAACCAGAGGGCTGAGTGGTCGCTATGTATATGTGTGTTATTGGAACTTGGAAGAGTGGAGAAAATATTATTATATAGATAAATGATTAAGCTTTGGGGGAAGCGGGTTGGTCACCTAATTGCATTGGCCATCTCTTCTATGTTATCTAGTGGGGGACTGGGGACCAGGGGCCATTCTCATTTAATGCTGACTTTTGTATACGTAACCCAATCATGATAGGATGATATGTTATTATTTTGGGATTGGTCGCTTTAAATGATGTTCCATCCCATTTCCTTATTCTTTAAACCTGGCTATTTTGCACTGCAATTTCACTCATACGGGTGTAAAAGCGTGGAGTGCAAATTCTGATTTTCTCTTTTCAGTTTTTGTGCCTTATTTTGTTTGTATTCAAAGACAAAAGCGAAACAAAATTTCCCTTATTCTCATTCATTTGTAATCTCAGTACATTTGTACAAATTAAGGAAGACTTGCTTAATTTATAGTTAAAGGGAAAAATCTGGAATGCTTCTGCTACCCACTAGATGTTCTTGATGTGCGGCTGTAGTTTTTTTTTGGGTCTGTATGAGTGGCAGATCGAACTCTATTTTAATTTTTATCTTTTTCTTATTAATATGATTTCACCAATCTAATATATATATATATTAAAGAAAGGCTTTCAGACTACAACCCTTTATATTCAAACACGTAGTTTTTTCAAATTTAGATATATAGTATTTTATGAGAAATTGTTGCTAAACCTTACAACCCACTATCATCATTTGAATAAGTGGTCTTTTCATTTTTTAGAAAGTTAGACACGTGGCAATTTCTGAGAAATTCTTGCTAAAATCTACAATTCACTACCAGGTTACACAGCTCCCCACCATTGAGAAACGTGGCCTTCTCATTTTTATAGAAAGTTAGACATGTGGCATTTTTTGAGAAGTTGTTGCTAAAGACCACAACCCACTACCACCATTTTCAATCCATTCCTAAAAAAATGCAAATAGTTATCCACAACCACTTTCAATCCATATTCTAATAATTATTGAAAAACTATTTTTTAAAATAAATATTTTTTGAAAATTTAATAATTATTTAAAATATTAATAAATATAAATTTAATATTATTGATTCCATAATGTAAATTTAACATTACTGATTCCCCCGTACTTAATACAGGGTCCTTCACTAGTTAATCTATTAATCCAAACAATTGAACCAATGACCCATCCACTTGAATAAAAAAGCAGTTCAACCTCTAAGGTCAAACAATTAGCCATTAGCAATTTATTAGTTTTTTTTAAAAAACAGTTCAACCTATTAGTTTTTTTTTTTCCTTGGTATAAGAAACATCAGCTATGTAGGCTGTGTTTGGTTTGAAATAAGTATACGTTTTCCTACCCTTTCCCTTTCTTTTTCTAACTACCTTTTCTTTCAAACCAAACACAACCTTAAAGTTAAATTCAAAAATTGAAAATCACTAACCAAAACAACATGGGAGCCCAGATTTCCTACTCACTTTTCCTACCTACTCTCTACCCGCCCTAAATTGTAGCCACACATCTCTCAATTCATAACAGAGATGTGTGGCTCCAATTCACGAGTGGGTAGGAAAAGTGAAGTGAGTAGGAAATCCCTAGTGACAACATGAGTGGAATAAACAGTTGTATACACTAATTCGAGATTGAAAGAAAGACCCACCAAGTATTTGTGTGGGATGTTGTGTATTTGTATTGAGGTGAGTTGTGGAACACTGACTCAACCACTCCACTAAAACAAGTTGATTACATAATGCATCTTTTATCATCTATCCATCCATCATCAAGTCTAGCTAATAACTAATTCCACACCCGACTTGCTCATGGCGAAGTTAATGAAACCTGCCCTACTGCCCACCCTAGAGCATATTCAAATTCTTGACAACTAACAATCCACCAATCCATGATGTTGAATGTGCACCATATACCAACTACCATATGATCACTGCAATTCATTCAACTATATTTGTTACTTTTTATTTTTCTTTCATTCCATTCTAATACATTATTATTTCATCGTTTGCAATGAATTTGCGCTGCCCACATGCATGGGATCATGGTCAAACCCTAAATTTCTAATACAATCTTTGCCAATCGAAACTAAAGGTAAAATTCGGGTCAGCTTGAGTTGGCATTTTACACTGCTTTGGGTTTGGGTTTTTGCCGAATTGCCCGAAAGCAAAAACTTATGCACACTCCTAAAGTGAAGACATCTAGCCGCATGTTGGAACACCTCCCCATGAAGGAAGAATGACCAATAACCCTAGGGTTAGAATTTGTAAGTTTAAATACATTTGGGGTAAGTGCCAAATCGGAATTGATGTCAATTCATAGACGAATATGAATGCATAAAGCATGATTTATGGACCTTCTGAATGTTTATAGCTTTGCAGTGGGAATCAGAAATCTATATTAGGCCTGTCCATACTTTTTCGTTTAATGAAAGATAATCAAGAGATCTCAGATGTGCAGCTGGATGTCGTGTGTATGTAAACTTTATGTTTTGAATTGAACAAATCTGGACTCTCATCTCGTAGATGTGGATTCAAAACAATCCTCACTTATCCGCTCTACCACAGTATTCTATCGTGTATTAGGCATCTTTCGTCTATGCACAGTGACGCTGCACGTTCTTCACAAAATGGCTTTACTCCACTGAGGTTAGAGCTGTAAAATGAATCAGGCTGGCACTATTGGGGTATGACTGGAAAAATGGCCTCGTTGCTGGCACAAGCCACAGCCTAGATGGTGATTTTGGATCTATTGATCACAATATAGAGTTCACATTTGTGCCCTGCAACGGCTCATAAAACATTTTTGCAGTGTATTGAGAACATCTCCCCATGATGTACTAAAAATGATGATATCATCATTAGGAGATGTTTTTAATACACAGTGGGAATTTACTGTGAGATATTGTGGGGCACAAATCTGAACTCCACAATATATTGTTGGCCGCATTCATCCAGCCATATGTTGAAAATATTCATAACTACAACACAATCAACGTTTCCATACGTGCAATTGGGTATCTATGTGTGTATAATTATAAATATATAATTTTTTTTAATTTTATTTTATTATTTCATATATAAACAATTATAATATTATATACATTAAAATTCATATATAATAAAATTTTAAGATCTTTTTAATTTGTTGCCTATATTATCAATTTTTTATTTTTCATTCTTTTTCAAATTTTCTTATTTTTAAGGAAAAAAAATTTGCTGTCCTGTGTTGCGTCAGGCTGGGTTGGGTTCGCTTCAGTCAAAGCTTTATACGTTCGAATACTATTCAAACATTACGAGAAAACGACACGTGTCATAAGCGTATTTACATTTTACACACGTGCAAGAATGGTAAAGAGACGTTTACCGCGAACACCTTAGCCATCTCTCGATTCAAAACATTTTCGCCTTACCCTTTCTATTCTCTTCTTTCCCGCGTCTCTCCGGTCTCCACCCAAATCGACCCGTCAAACCCTTGTTCTGCTATCCTCTCCAACCGGCGAAAATAAAAAGCATCACCGGCAGTGAAATCTTCTTCGGCGGCAGCTAAATCTTCCTTCTTCTTTGCTTCTCTAAAACACAGTCTTCTCCCATGAAAAGCCTAACCCTTACTGTTGATGACAGTGATATTCCTCCGGCGACAAGTGGCTTCATCTGCAACTGATCCGCCAGTGATGCCACCAAATGTCCAAGCCTGACCCTTCTTTTTTGCTTCTCCAAAAGTCCAAGCGATGCCAAGGATGCCAACTCCGTCACAATCACCACCGTTGTGGGCCTGGTCAGTCTGGCTTTTGTAACCGATGACCGTCAACACAGTAATGTAGAGAAACAAAAGAGTGGCAATGAATTCAGCGATGAGAGCCCTGTAGAAGGACAACTTGGTCAATTCCACGGCATCGATCAAAGGCACCGGAGGTGGGTCGTTGTAGTCCTTGGCGGAGAAATGGCCGTGTTCAGCAACCTCAACGTCCTTCCCCATGCCGTAACGAGTGCAAGAGCTCAAAAACAATAAGTTTACAAGAGCTGGGAAAGAAGGGAGGGGAGGAGAGAAGGAGAGAGAAGGCACTCGTTGTTATGCTTGGATGGGAGTGGGAATGAGTGAGAGGAAAGTAAAGTGGGAAGGGGTGAATCTGAGGAAAAAGAAATTAAGGTTTATTAAGTTGATTTTGCCGCCCCTGCTCCCACTGAAATTGATTTTGTCCCTGTTTCATGCGCACGGGCTCCTCTCTGGCTGTCTGAGAGGTAATGAATGTTGGGTTGGGAGATATTTTCATTTTTCTTTTGTTAATAAAATTTTCTATGATTTTTCATGCTAAACTAGGAACTGCTGCTGGCCTAGTTATTACCCAATATCTATCGTCGGTTGCTGCCGGATTGCAGATGAAATTGTTCGTCGCTGGCGGAATATCACTGCCATCATCAATAAGGGTCAGGCTTTTCATGGGAGAAGACTGTATTTTAGAGAAACAAAGAAGAAGGAAGATTTATCTACTCTATATTGCCGATCGCCGGAAGAAGATTTTACCGGTGATGCCTTTTGTCTTCGCCGGTTGGAGAAGATAGCAGAACAGGGGTTCGGTGGGTCGATTTGGGTGGAGACTGGAGAGTGGTAAACGTCCGTTTACCATCTTCGCATGTATATATTTTGCACACGCGCCCATAAATGCGTGTCGTTCTCAAGTAATGTTCGAACATATAAAGCTTTGATTGAAGCCGAACCCAGCTGGGTTCCCCTCTTTGGACAGTTGTGCCAAGCGACCGGCTATAGTGAAGGTGGCCCAAAAAAGTGGGCCCACATTTAAGCTCGTTAGTGATCCTGGGTGCTTGTGTGTTAAATTTAGGGAAAATTGTTCTAAGGCTCGGTATGGAAGGAGTACAAATACAAATTTATAGAGTATAAAATTTTATATTTTTTATGTATTTATGTTATATATATTTGTATTTATATTAAAATATAAAATCTTATATTTTGTATTATCTTTTATGTATTTATATTTAAGGTTCAAAATATTGATACGTCCGATATACCAATAGGAGTGTTTCGGGCGAATTAATACACATTTTGAAACTTTTTTTTTTTTGTAATTAGTTAAAGGGGTTAGATTAGGTCTCTTACCCCTTCAATCGGTCAGACCTCCAATACACCCATTATAGGAGTGTAATAGAGGAGTTCCGAAATGATATGTGTCAATCGATAAGGATCATACACTGTATACTTTGAACCTTGTTTATACTATACATATTTGTATTTATACTCTTTTCAAACTTAACTTAAATTTCTATAGAAATGGTACAAATACAAATATATGTTTTTGCATTTTATACTCATCCCATTTGTATTTGTACTTTTCTCGAACTGAGCCTAATTTGCAGCTGGATTCCCATGCGTTGCGTGTGCAGAATTATTTTTAATTATAGTGAATCCCATCGAATGTTTTAATGTGAATTGATGGCCAAGCCCGAGAAGCAACTAAAATTGAAACTTGAAGGAACAAGTCAAAATAAAAATAAAAATAATAAATATTTCATATTCGTATTGTGAATCCAAACAAAGAAGCAAAAAGAAAAACCAATACACTTTTTTTTATTGTATCAGACGCTTTAACCGAGAAATGACGAAGGAAAATTTTGCCTTCGAGCTATTATTTCTTTCAAAATATCCAAACAACAAAAAAAAAAGCAAAAAGAAAAACAAACTTGATCATGGATTCTTCAAAAATTTCTTTTTACGGTAATTTTTGTTTTTTTCGAAAGTCTGCAGTAATTTTGTTGACGCTGCGTAATCAAATTACATTTGCTACGACATTTGTCGCAACCCTGCGCTGAAATAACGAAATCAAGGCCTTTCACTTTAATATATCAAAGGCTTGATTCTCCGTTTTAGCCATTGTCGTAGCGAAAGTGAGCTCGTGCCGTCACCTCATCGAAAATTCGACACAGCGTAGGGTAAATGGCATTTTCGTAATATCAACCTTAACCCACTACCCATAAAACCGACAAGTCATCGCCTTTGCCTTATTATTGCCCTTTCCGCCTTTTACCTTGGTATCCGTTGAGACCGCCCCCCCCCCTCTCTCTCTCTCTCTCTTCTTCAGACTTCAGTCGCCCCTCTTTTGCTCATTAGTCTCCTTCGTTGCCCCCGACCTTCCCTCCATCTTCCAATGCAAAAAATTCCAGTTCATCGCTTTTCCGACATACACAGAATTTTTTAGGGTTTATTTTTTGTTTTCTCCAATGCAACCAAACTTCTTTCCTACAGATACTTAAATCTCTCATTTTCCTCCAAAATGGGTAGATTCATAGTGTCGTTTCTCGCCGGAAGAGTTCAGTCCTTGTCGTACTCATCTCGCCGGCTATAATGGTGGACGCCGGGAAGCACACTTCCCAAGACGACGGTGGTTCCGAGAGCTCTATATCTCGTAAGCTCATGGCAAAGACGCCGTTTTTCGGACTGAACCTATACATCGTGATTGGTATCTGCGTCGGATGCGTGATTGTCGCTGTTCTTCTCATTCTTCTCAGTTTTCGTCGGTGTCAAAGCTCACGCCGGAAGCGTGTAAAGAACACTTCAGGTTTAATTCCTATGATCTCTAAGGAGATCGTCGAAAAGGAGATCATAGAAATAAAAGCTTCGGATGGAAATGAGAATGAGAAGATCGACGACACAGATAAGAAAGAAATTGAACTTGTCAAAGCCGACTCAAATAAGGCCATTGGTGTCGGAAATCGGAGTATAGGGAGTAACGTTTCGGGTGGGAGCCAGAGCTCGTCGTCGGTCGTATCTGGCGAGATCTCGATTATCGGGTGGGGACGGTGGTATGCTCTGAGTGAGCTGGAGATTGCTACCGGTGGGTTTTCCAGCGATAATGTGATCGGAGAAGGAGGCTACGGAGTTGTTTTCCGGGGAGTTTTGCCCGATGGTTCAATAGTTGCAGTGAAAAACCTTTTCAACAACAAGTAAGTTTCAAAACACATTTATAAAAAAAAAAGTAAATAAATCAACTATTTTTCGTTGAGCGCGCATCTCCTTTTTAATTATTTGCATTTCTTTCATATTTTTGAAATTACTGCTTTATAATTTTGATATAAAGGGGTTATTCATAACTGTATTTTTTCGAGTCGTGCCAAAATTTATAAAGTAGAAGTCAAATTGTAGCTCCGGTGTTTGGCTTCCGTTGGTGATACAGGTCATTGGTGATGTTAGGTCTTCACCCCGCTGTTAATGTCGTTAACTGCAAGTCTTCTTGGACATCTCGATGGAACGCTTACTGTAACTGTGGATATTGATTCTAAGCGTGCACGTTAGAACTGGGCATATCTTTTTTCTTTTTCTCCTGCAGACTTAAAAAAAAGGCAAACCATGAAATTACCAACACTCTGAATTCTGTAACGCTGGAACTGCGTGGGTTTCTTTATTTAAAGTCAGAATCTTTTTGGAAAAAAAGTAGGTATAAATCTGTTGATATGGATGCCCATATGCTTCATCTCCTTTTAATAATTAATTTTCCTACTCATTGGAAATGAATTGATCTGCTCTTCACGTTTGGAAATCTATACGAAATTACTTTGGTAAAATAATCAAGAGTGGCTTGCTTATTTTTCACAACCCGAGTTAAATCAATGAACAACTTTGCCTTGTTTGGAATGTAATGACTATTTGAATCGATGGATGAATATGTAGGAACTAGTTTTGCGAACATAACCTATTTATGTTTTCATGGAAAACAAGGAATTGTTTTAGGTACAATTTTCAATCTCTTGCAGATTAAATGAATCTTCTTGATCAAGGAGATTTGCATTGTTAGAAAGGAGGAAAAAATGCCGAGTCTGTATGAAAGTATGAAGAGCAGTTATTCCTTTTAACAAAGATGCATTGTTGATGATAAATTTTCTGTCATGCTCTTGTTAGCTTACACCGAATACTATGGAAGCATGAAATTGTGTTCCATGAAATTTCATGTAGAACAGTAACTTGAATCAGCCACTTCACCATTTGCTTTTCAAGTTCCAGGGATATTTTGTTTTCTTATTATAATTTAGATTTTTATAAAAAGGCTCTTGGGTTGCAATGTATTGCTTTATTTCCCTTATACATCTACCTTGATAAATTGTTGATTAGAGTTCATCATCTACAATTATCTTGTTTTTAGGGGTCAGGCAGAGAGGGAGTTCAAGGTTGAAGTTGAAGCCATTGGAAAAGTAAGGCATAAAAACCTTGTAGGTCTTCTTGGGTATTGTGCAGATGGTCCTCATAGGTATTTTTTTTCTTCCTTCTTTTTTTGATCTTGCAAAGAGCCATGCTCATAAATATTTCTGTTTGAGCATTCTTCCATTCTATTGTTCTCTCTAGATGAAAATGATAAGAATTCCTTTTACTAAGTTGCTTGTAGTGGTATTCCAGGATGCTTGTGTATGAATATGTGGATAATGGAAATTTGGAGCAATGGTTGCATGGCGATGTGGGCCCTACCAGTCCATTGACATGGGATATCCGCATGAAGATTGCCATAGGAACAGCTAAAGGGTGCGATACATCTTATTATTCATTTCTTATTCACTATTTATCTTATCATCATTACTGCACAAAGAAAAAAGAATATTCTCCCTTCTAAATGGTATCATGGTGCTTATTTGTTAATTGATCAACATGTTATAAACTTCTATTAATTTCTAAACTATTGAGTGGAATTCTGTTTCTGCATATAGTATTCAAATTTTTCTAAAGAAATTATCATATTGGTGTATCTACTTATTTAATTTATTTTTTTATGTGCACCTCTTCTGAAATCCATGCCAACACTGTGATTGGGATCCCCAATCCTTAATGACAACAAAACAAACCATACATTTTTACGGTAACTAGTAAGAAGAAAAATCAACATAAGAAAAAACTTATAATTCCAATTTCGTGAAACATCCCCATTAAGGTTGTGAAAGGATGACACCTAGATATATGCAAATTAGATTACATATTTGTGTTATTTGGATTTCAATCAGATTACATATTTACAATTTCTGGTTTCAAGCTGCTGGATTTGTATAATTCTATATGGGGTCTGCTACATGAATCTTGTTTCGCCAATCCATTCTATTTAAAGCCATATCCACTGTTAAATTATTAGTGCTTAAATCATTTCATACTACTACTACCCATGCCCTTTTTTGTCTACCTCTAGCTCTTCTAGCCCCTTCCAATTGTAACAAATCACTTCTTCTAACTGGAGCTATTGGTGGCCTTCTATGCATGTGATCAAACCATCTTAGGCTACTCTCTTTCTCATTTTATCACCCATTCGAGCTACTATTAGGTTCCTACGGATGACTTCATTACTGATCTTATCCGTTCTAGTTTTTCCACTCAGCCATCTTAGCGTTTGCATTTCTGCTACACTCATTTTTTGGACATGTTTGTTTCTTGACTGCCCAACACTCTGCTCCATACAACATAGCTTGCCTTACAATTGTTTTATAGAAATTTCATTTTACTTTAAATGGCATTCACCTATCATACAAAAGTCCATATGCACCCTTCCATTTTGCCCAGCCTACTCTAATTCTTTGGGTGACATCCTCCTTAATCTCTCTCCCTTGTCTCCTGTAAGACTTGAATCTACAGAACTTTTTGTTGAGATTCGAATGCTAAAACTAACTTTGTTGATGATTTTTTGTTAACTATCATCATTATCATCTAAGCTTTATCCCAACAATATAGTTTGTTAACTATATATGTATGAACTAAATCTTAATATGATTGGTTTGGGGCATTGAATCCAGACATAAACAATTTTGCCACTTAAGACCTGTATTTGGTTTAACCAGATATCCAGATCACATCCAGATGATGTTCCAATTTATTGATAGTTATACCAGCAAAAGACTGAAACTACACTCTATTTCCTATTCAAGAAAATAGTTTTCTTCCAAAAATCCATAAAATATGATTTTGGTACTTTTCAAACTCAATCTCTTCTTCCCAGTCAAGTTGGGGAGCATTGTATCTCAACCAGATCATAGAAGGTGTTTCTTTCTCAAGTCCTATGCCCATAATAATGTCTGTGTGGTTCTCTTGGAAGAATGTGTGCATGCGTTCTGTCTTTTTTTCATCAGTAATGTGTTTCCTCTCCTTGATTTTTCATCTGTATTTTGTTACAGATTAGCTTATTTGCATGAAGCGCTAGAACCCAAAGTTGTGCACCGTGATATCAAATCCAGTAACATTCTCCTGGATAAGAAATGGAACCCAAAAGTCTCAGATTTTGGACTTGCAAAGCTCTTAGGTTCAGAAGCAAGCTATGTAACCACACGAGTAATGGGAACATTTGGGTTTGTCCTTTATTCCTAGAAGATTCTTCTATTTATTATTAGTTATTTTGGTGTATATTGGTACTGAGCTCTTTCTCTCTCTCTCGGGTGTAGATATGTATCTCCTGAGTATGCTAGCACTGGTATGCTTAATGAGAGCAGTGACGTTTATAGTTTTGGTATTCTACTGATGGAAATAATCTCTGGGAGAAGTCCAGTAGATTATGCTAGACCAGCTGGTGAGGTGAGAAAGATTTTTTGATGTTCTTGCTCCAATTTACTCATGAAGTCTGTTACCTAAATCTGCACTTTCATATGCACTTATAGGTGAATTTGGTTGAGTGGTTTAGAGGAATGGTAGCAAATCGTCGTGAGGAAGAAGTGGTAGACCCTCTGATCGAAGTTCATCCATTGCCAAGAGTGTTGAAGAGGGTTTTGTTGATTTGCCTTCGTTGTATTGATCCAGATGCTAACAAGCGACCAAAGATGGGGCAAGTTGTACACATGCTAGAAGCAGATGAGTTTCCTTTCCGTGCTGTAAGCCCAATTTTCATAATTATACTTTGCAATTTTGTATTGTTTCAAGTGCTGACTGTTAAAACTGCCTTAAATTTCAATGTTGCATCAGTCTTTTAATCACTGAACTAAATTTTCTTAAGAACATCATGTTAGGTTTACAAGAATGCTTTTTTTAAGCCTAGTTTTACAAGAATGCTTGCACAGACATCCCTGTTACTTCTACAAAATTGTGCTGCCAAAGTTTTATGAAGTTCTTTACTGTGAGTTCAATAGAAATAGCCTATTAGCCTTTTGTTGATGCTTTCTACTTTGACTTGGTTCTTCATTTAGAAGTACCAGATGAAGTGTCAACAATGACTTTTCCAGTTGTCAAGCTTATATGAATTAATGAGTGACACAGGCTCTAATTTCTAATGAAATGGATTAAATCTAAGTCAGTTCTATAGCCATCTTTTAATAGTTAATGGCGATATATATGTTTGTGAAGACTTCTGCCTTAATGTTCTCAAAATTTTCTGTTGTTCCCATAAATCAGTTTATATATTCACTTTTCGACAAGCTGTAATTTCATCTATGTTCTATTTTTTATATAATTGTTTCTATTATCAATTTTGTTTATTTTTGTAATTTTTATAACCTGCAACATGCATTTATAAGAACTGATACCATATGCTTATACTTTTTCCTATCTCAAGTGAACAGTAAAACGATTATGACATGCTGGATTTTTTTTTTATGGTTTTGCATCCAAATCTTAATCTGCTGGCATGTATATATTTTAGTTTCATTGATATTGGGGAAAAAATATTTAAGACATAGTATACTAGAAATGTTGGAGACAATGTAGCTAGATGTGTAATTTCCATACAGACAAAATCATTTGTTTTTCTTCACCACATATCAAGGCACAATTTATGGCATAGTTGAAGCCACTTCTATGATACCAAGAAGACAAGAAGTCCTAATAAATGAGACATTGTCACATTATTAATTGCAAATACACTACTACAATCTTCATTTTACATTCAAATGGTTTAACATTAATTGCTAGTACTTGCATTTTGTCTTTCATTGTTTATGTTATTTGTACATGGGTGGTGGAATCTGAGCATATCTAGGAGTTCAAGACCAATATTTTCTTTTTATCTATAGGCAATTCACGCCATGTATGATGTCTATCTCATTTGTCATTAGTCCAATTGATGGATATATAGATGGGCCCAGATCATCCCATTTATTGGCCATTTCTCAATATCTGCCAATGAAATCGCCTGTTTATGGACATATCCTGGCAATGATACCATATACAAGCCCATCTATTAGATGCGGAAGATAATTTCTTTGGCTTGTTTTAGAGATACAAAATACATGAGTGGGTCCAAGAATTATTTGCTTGGCAGAACCCAGCTGTATATGTCACATGCAAGCAGCATTTGTATCTTAAGATAAGTTTAAAATTTCATACTGCATGTCAGAGACGGTACTCAAAGGTAACAATTTATCCAATCGCATTTGTATCTTAAGATAAGTTTAAAATTTCATACTGCATGTCAGAGACGGTACTCAAAGGTAACAATTTATTCAATCGCATTGAAATGGGTAAAGTTGGTGTATATTTTAGAGTGTATTTCTCAGTACATGAATAAGTATCTTCATTTAAAGAACAGAATGACAGAGCACCACATATAGTTGGGTCAAGGTTTAGATGATGATGACGATGAACAGTTCCACACATGAAATGGATTCTCCATTCCCATTTTTCCCCTTCATCTATTGAGTTTCTGGTTCATCTTAAGATTTCAATATTTTTCATTTTTCTATAGAAATTCAGTTACAAATTCTTCTATCAAGTAAAATTTTCAACAAATATATGCTTGGGAATGTTAAAGATCTTTGACTTGCCAACCGTACTCTGTTTTTTTTAATGATCCACAGGAACACCGGGTACCCCGTGACACAGCTTCCCTTACTCCCCGACTGAGCCCCACAATCACCAATGGAGTTGCATTCCCATCCAAGACCACTTGGAGAGGTGATGTCGAAAGGTCAAGGTGAAGATAAGTTTGTTTGGTTGAAGTACAGTAGATGAATAAACGTAAAATAATTTTCTAGTTTGTAAATTGCCTTCTAATTTATAAAAGAAATTGTTTCATTTGTTTTTCATAGACTTGGGCTTTTTGTCGATTTTGTTTTTTCATAGCATTCAACATGGCTTTTCGTTGGAAGAACAGAGAGTTCTTGAATCATTATAATCTTTAGAGGGATTAAGATCGGTTTTGGTATTTAAAAGCAGTGTCAAGTAAAACCAGTAAGTACTGAAAAGAGAATGTGTTGATGCAGTCTTCTGGGTTGAGTGTTGACACTTGACAGCCAGGTAAAAGTTAGAACTCCTTCAAACGGTTGACTGCCAGGTAAAAAAGTCCTCCGCTTCGTTTTGCTGGGAAAGCCAGCTGGGAAAGGTAAGTGTAGCTCCTCCAAACTCGGCTTTAGTCATGGCCTGGACGTTTCTTTTGGGAAATTTCACATTTTCACTGATACGTACGCTGTGAACCTTTAATATCTGCATCGAGTGGTTTGCATCCAAGTACAGCACGCCGCTTGTCTTTGTCGGTAGGGTAGATCGCACCTAACCCTAACCCACAATTTCGATCTGATCGGACAGTTGAGATTTCCTTGACAAACGACTGTCTTTGATCACTCTCTTGCCATCAGAATTGCTTGCTTTTCATTTGCTCTCCTTAATTTTTAATTTTCATGTTGAAGCCAGAATTCAGCTTGGGAGCTGGGTCCTAATATGCAAAACCCATGGATTTAATCTATTAGGCAATTATTTTATTAAGGTAATTTGTTCAGTTTTAGTTCTTTTAACGAATAAGCAGGTTGTGCATGTGCCTAACTCTGTTGAGTCTGGACCTGCACATAACATGATTTGTGGCTGCACATGAGGCACATCTCAGACATGTTTTGTATTCGTTGATGGGGGTCATACTTTTGAGAGCAATCATGTCAGATGTCTATGGATGATGTTGGAAGCTTTGTTTATAATAAATCCAGACTCAACTTTGTTTATTTCTAGCAATCTCAGTTTTGACTGGTCAAAGCCTTCTTAGTATATGTATTTCCAGCAGCATAGATTTATCTTGTAACTCATTACCCATTATTTGTTTTGATCAGGTCAATACATGGTTTTCAAAATCAGACCGGACAGGGTACCATTCTTGGGATTAGTTCCCGGGTCAAATGGGCCAACCGTCCAATTTGAACAGATTGTCCCAAAAAGTTAAAAATAAAATAAAAATACAAAAAGAGCCAAAAGGTGTTGTTCGGGTCAATGGTTCGACGGTTTGTCTGTTCGGATCAATAGTTTGTTGATCAAATCAACGGTTTTTGGTAAAAAATGGTTTTGGAGTAAAACAGACTGATTCCTGATTTTTTTAGTCCAATCGTCTGGTCTGGCCGGATTATGAAAACATTGGGTAAAACTGTTGAATGGCTCAACCAGATGCATAATAAGTCGTCAATGCTTTTTATTTTTGTTGGGTTAACCGTAGATTGTTTAATAATATTTTAATTATAAAGTTAATTGAGTAAACGTTGATTGATTGATCTAAAAAGAAGTTGGTTATGTATTTGGATTAAATTAAACCCATAATAAACACATTTACAAGGGAGGAAATTCAGCTTATCGGTCCACTCATTTCTGAATCTAGTTCTAGTAAACGGCAAGGCTTAGAGGTTGGAACTCTTTAGATCCAGACTCAGATCTTGGTGGACGCCACAATTCCTCCATGGCTCCTCTAAATTTTTTATTTTTTAAATTTAATCAAAACAATAAATAAAATAAAATAATACCATCATAAGAAAAGGTTCCGTAATTGAATCAACAAAGGAGCTTTCCTACATGACCCTACCTATTTTCGCCATATTTTTCCCAACCCAAACCAGTGGATTGCTTTGTTCATGGCCACTAATAATAATAGCAGTTCACAAACTGGCAGTTTCTTCAAGAATGAATATCTTGCAAGAATTTCTGACCTTGAATGGTAGCACTAGCATGAGGAGAGCTAATAGAGGGGCAATGAGACAACATCCAAATGTCCATAATTCATCATCAAACACTTTAATTTTGGTGCAAAAATTAAGAAAAAAAAACAAAAACAAAAACAATTAAATCAGTCCCTGTCCTCACCGCATGTACATAAACGATTGAATTTAGTGACCTATGTCTTATGTATTCTTAACATGCTTCGTCATGCATGAAGCGGGAACAAGCACAGACCCATTTATATCATTTATATCATTATGCTGAAATTTAATAAATTATAATAGGAACGATGAGGATTAAACAGATCATTTGGTCAAATAGGCTCTGATACTGTTCATGTTGGACCCGATCAGATCTGATAGGATTATATTTGAATTTGAATCCTATCAGTAAGTCGGATCTTCGGATCTAATCCAATCCAACTTGTTTTCTTTAAAAATTAATAAATTAATTAAAAGAGGGACAGGGAATGGTCATTCCCTCAAATGGGAGAATGCCATTCCAACAGGAATGGGAATGTGATTCTGATTCCATTCAATCAAACAGTTGGAATCAGAATAGCCCATTCCGATTCTAACTCCAGACCTCTATTCCTGAGAACCAAACGGAGCCTTATATTTTTATACCAACCTTAAAAAAATGGCAAACCTATATATGACATGAAAGATGCTCGAACCAACTCCATTCCACCCAAGGGTGCAGATTGAAATGGATTACCCTAATCCAACCTGAAGTCCATATTCCAACCCTAACTAGGTTGAGTTCAGGCTCACCTAACCCTAGTCCTAGCCCTAATTCCACCCGTATCACATACCGGTCTCTTTAGAAATGCAAATACATATGAAACACCTTGAATAAGTGAGAGTTTCATTTTAGCATCCAATTTCATTTTAGCTAAATCTTCCAGTGCCAATGTGCCATGTCTTTTTGGCTAGCAAATATTTTACCCCTTCTATAATAAACTCTACATATGGCTTATCTTGTAGATTGCTAGGTAACTGCCTAACTCAAAGACAATTCAAGGTATCTGGCTTCCGGAGAGAGAGCTTGTAGCTTGTAGCATGTTGGAATCTTGATTGTTACAACTAGTTTTTCTTGGTTGTTGACTTGTTGTTGCATTTAGATATGGCCACGTGGACCTCCTAACTTCTTTCTTGAATAAACCCTGATATATCTCGGGTTTGTTCCCTTGTAGCTACTTCCATGGGTCAAATAATACCTCCCCCCTCAAAGTTGAGATGAGGAAACTCTTGTTACAGGGAGTGGGAGTCCTATGATTTCCATGTACCATCTTCCATAACTAAGTTGCTCCATAGAACTTTTTAATAGTGTGTTGGCCATGTTTAACCCATCTGAAGTTAGGCTCCGTTTGGTTCGCAGGAATAGGGGCTTGGATTCAGAATTGGAATGGTCTATTCCAATTCCAACTGTTTAGTTGGGCGGAATCGGAATTCCATTCCCATTCCCCCCATTTAAGGGAATGGTCATTCCCCACCCCTCTCTTGGGAATGAAATCTTATTCATGCTGATTCCAATTTTCATTCTAATTTCTGTCTGAACCAAATAGACTATGAGAATAAATCTATTCAATTCCGATTTCAAAAGATTTTGATTCTGATTCTGACTGCAAACCAAACGGACCCTTAATAATTTTATGTGGCTCTACTTGCAGGAAGCTATCTTCTGAAAAAACTAGTAATGTGAAGTTGTAAATTATATCACCACTGTTTTTTGACATAGGACACATTCTTTCTAGGATTGTAAATGGTCCAAAGAGTCATGGAGCAAGCTTGTACCAAGAGTTTGTAGGGCTGAAGTTTAAGATAGACCAAGTCGCCCACTTGATATGAAACATCACTATGTTTGTGATCATATTCATAGCTAAGGCTCAATTTGGAAGGAATACAAATACAAATACGTACAATACAAAATACATAAAAAATAATAGAAAATATAGTATTTTGCACTTTCAAATTTGTATTTGTACTCCTTCCAAATTGAGCTTAATTTTCATGAGTTGTTGCACACAGTAAAAGTTAATTTTGAATTCTTGCAAAATTTGGTCTGTTGTGTGAGGTGGTCATCCACAACAGCTAGTATTGCAGTTGATCTCTTCTCATATGGTATTATGGCTGGTGGTTCTTGTGTTGGACAATTTTTGTATGCCCTTAGCTTCAATCAATTCTGATGTACTTTTGATATTTAATATAAATAAAGGAAGTACATGTTTGATTCATGTTGTGTGGTATACTTCTGTGTAAAACCCTAAAACTGGACACTTAATGAGACTTGTGTTGGTTTAAATGTTCACAGCCGTTGGATAAGTCTGGGGAGATTTATCCTACCAAGGCTGACACTGGTGTGCTGCCAACTGTTGGGGTGGCTTGTCTCACCCGCTAGGGTGAGACCCAAGGCACACGCAGTGTAGGATTGCTTGAACCCTTGAACCAGACCAGATTTCCAGTATTGCCCTGGACCTTAGAGATTGATGGGCAAAACTGAAAAGTTATACCCGACCCCTAGACTCGATTATGATACTGCACTAGGTGTCGGATTGGGCTGTCTTTGATATGCCAATCAGTGAGATCCTTAGCGGGGGTCAAAACATGGGTATGTTGGGATAGTCTGAGAATTCATCTGAGTGGGTGATCATAGTGACGGGATCAGCCCCTTTGTCAGACAAAGGTAATGATCGGGGATGCACTCTCTCTGATGGAAACCAAACTGCCGGCAGTTGATTTCAATCATTGGAATTTTGTTTTTGCAAAATTTATATATATATGATATATACCTAAGTATGATATGATCAGGAGATTTTCTTAATCATTAAGCAACTAGAGAAAACCCAAAATTCGAATTACAAGAATTCGAACCCTAGGGATTTTCGCAGAACACCTTGCAGTTTTGAGATAGGATCTCAGAAACCCTAGAGAAGAAACAAAAAAAAAACAGTTTTCCATCTTCTTCTCTAGTTTTCTCCTTTTGCAGCCACCACCATCTACTGCAGTTCGATTTCTCTGTCAGAGAAAGATCAAGAAAGAGTTCTTGATATCAGTCTGCTGAAAGGCTGATTCAATTTGGTGCTCATTGCTTCCAAAGGATTCAGTGTGTAGGACGCAC